GAGTTCAGACATCCTTTGACTTTCAAACTTATGCCCGTATCACTGGCCAATGGCCATTCTCTCAACCATGTTCTTTTAGGTAAAAGGCAGCAGTCAGTTCATCTCTGTGAATAGTTTCCTCTCTTCCAGCTTGAGAAAGGACAGAAATCTTACAGCTAGTCTGCCTTCCTGATTGACTGAAATTGTATGAAAATAAAACTCAAGGCCCATCTGCTTCTCTAGTTTTCATCCAAGATTCTTTAGAAGGGAAGTGACTGGAGACCAAATATTTGTTGTAGCTGTGTGTGGCTGCAGTTTTGGAAGACAGCCCTGGATGGGAGAAAACAATACTAAATTATTTTAAATGTTGGCTCTCTCTTTTTTCTTTATTATTGTATAAGAATTCTAACTTTCTCCAGGGATTTGCCTGATTTCCTAGTATTTAATGTCTGCAGAATACTGAGTTGCATGTTCTAGCACAATAAACATGCCAACTCTTTAGAATGCATAATGTGTAATAACCATTATTATGGTGGAAATATAAATGGATTGTTCATCATAATAGTCAGTATGGCAATATGTGCATGTGTGGAGTGCCGCTGCAACCATCTCTGGGAAATTTCACACCCATTGTAGCTACAAATGTTGCTTAAGTTGTTCCCTCTTTCTAGAATGTCTTTAACAACTTCTTTCTACTCACCAATAGTCTCTCATTTTTTTTAAGTCTAATTCATTCTTTTGATGTTACCTGACATTATGTGGTTTTTGCCCTGGTGCGAAAGCTGTCATAAGGGAGTACCTGAGTGAGCGTAACTGTGCTCCAGTAAGACTTCAGTTCTAGAACAAGCCCTGGTTTGTGTTGGCCTCTAGATCATACTTTGCTGACTCTTGTATTTGACATTCCTTGGAGTTTTGAGAGCTTGAGAGAAACTTAGCTAAATGTCTTCCTATTACATGTGAGCACCTCTAGGGAAGGGGTTAATGGATAGCTTCAGGGTCACACATTTATGATGGCTCCAGGTCTAACAAGTAACTCATCTGGAATTTTAGGTTACAGCTCTGCATTTTAGATTCATTCATTATGTTTACTATCAGATTATATTGTATTTAACATTGCAGTATACTGTTGGGTATTATTGTCTTGTTTCATGTTTAGTAATGTAAGTTAATCTATTATTGTCACTTATGGGACAATGAGCCATATACATATATATATATACATATACATATATGTGTGTGTGTATATATATATATATACATACATATATATATATTTGTGTGTATATATATACACACATATATATTTAAATTTATGTATATAAAAATATATATATATATATATTTAAATTTTGTCAGCAAATGTGTGTATATCCTAGAAAAAGACAGAGAGAGGGAGAGAGAGAGAGAGAAAGCACGCTCCTATGGGGCATGGTGACACAACAATCCTTTTTCTTTCAGTTCTCCTTCCTTTTGGGATTTTGGGCATGCATGCACAAGTACCCTGTGTGTTTTTAAAGCCACTGAGTCTGGGACTTGAATCATGTAGTTAACCATGAGGGATCCAGCTGCCTTAACCAATAGGCCATGGGCTAGCCCCATATATATAATTTTTAATTTTCATTGTATTGATTTTATTATGTCAGAGGGAATGTGCACTTGAGAGAAAGTATCCTTGGTGGAGTGTGGTCATACTCCAATCCTTTTCTCTCCGTTTGCCATCTTCCGGGCAAGCCCACATGTATACCTGGCCTGATTTTCAAGCTGCCGGGGCCAAGATCTGTACCAGGTTGGCCACGTAGGACACAGCACCCTCTGCACAGAGCCTACTGACCATGCTATCAGGTGAACCTCTATTTATTTTTTAAATTTCCCAATATGATTAGGAGAAAAAAGTCACAGTAAAATCTTAACATATTTGTGATTACTGTCCTGCAGAAAATGTAGTGAATATAAAATTTCTCTTGCTGAATTATATAGTTATAGATTACATTTCTATTTAAGAGAATTTGAGATTTGCAACACTTAAATTCTGGAAATAATTTGAGTCACCTTTTATAAATAACTTTATAAATAACTTATATATAAATTTTCATATGTACTTATCTTTTCTGATTACATTTTTATTCTAATTACTGATATTCTGAATTACATACTATAAATACTTAAATTTTTTAATTTAAAAATTATTTTCAATCAATTTTAAGAAATAGTAAAAAAATTTAAACTTGTCCCAGTAGCAGTGGTGCAAGGGGGAAAGGGCAACTGTGTGATGGCTGAGACCATGGGCAAGTCTGGTTTTGGTTCATGGCTTGACGTAAACAGGCCAAATTCAAAGTTGTGCACCGGTGGTCCTAGCTAATTGGGAGGCTGGGGTGGGTAAACAGAGACATGGTGAGACCCTGACAAAAAAATGCCTCTCTCTCTCACTCTTTCTTTATTTTTCCTCATACTCCCTCCTTCTCATTAAATATAAATAAATAAATATAAGATGATCAATTTTACAAAAGGTTAAATTTTTTTAAATGTAATAAAACTAAGCTTCCTTAGGTTTTATAAATGGTATATTTACATTCTAAATTTAAATTAACTAATGGATCATTTGATTAGTTTTCAAATTCATTGTCATTCATTATTATTGTATATAATCTAGCCCTAAGCTTCAAAAAGTTTATATAAAAGGCAAATTATGAAAAAAAAAAAACTATTTACAGATTTCTAATTATTTTTCCCCCAAAATAAAGTATTATTTTTATTTCATTGGGGAGATTTAGAGTAGAAAACCTTTCTCTCAGCATCATTCTGCCAACTTCTGATGTGGCTCACCTCTTCATTTCCTTCAGATGTTGTTACTCAAATGTTGCCTGAACAGCAAAGAGGCTGCAGTTGACAAGCAACGTAAAACGGCAGTTCCCGCCAGCTCCACCCTTTCCCCAGACTCCCTGCCCACTCTCCATGTTTCTGTTCCTCTACAGCGTTCTTCACCAGCTGATCCTCTGAGTTACCTCTGTGCTGTCAGTATGTATCTTCCCATTAAAACTGTTGCCTCTCCCAGGGAGGGCATTGTTAGTTTCATTTTCCACTGTATTTCCACTGCTGTGCACAGCACAGGTGCTATGCTGTATTTGAATGAATGAAATAAAAATAATTGAATATTAACACATTCTTAATATAATGGGAACAGTAAAAGTAACACTCCAGTTAAATGAAGAATTTATGTAAAAAATTATTAAAAATTTAGGATCAAAAGAATTAGGAAATAGAAAAGTCAAGGCTAAATGTTCATGTTCACATGCAGCTACATGGGAAAGTGAATTTTAACAGACAATACCTTTAGCTTTGTGAACTGACACTTTTTGGACACATTTTCTGATCATCTTTTATTCTTTTATGTTAAACTTTCTAGGAACTATATTCCTGCACATATGCCATATTTCTCAGAGACATTTGCAGTATGACTAAGAAAAATAAGAAATCGAACAGTATTTTATTAGAATGGGCTTGTTCCCTTTAATTTCAGGTGTGTACCTACTTAAGTGATGAAATAATGAATCAACTCATTTTTCCATTATCTTGGGGATTTAACTCCACTTAAGTTAATTTTCCAGGAAACTAATTTATTTCTTCTATTGCTAAAGATTTTTTTTTATTTATAAAAATCAGAGTTAGAAACCACTCTAGGGGACTTCAAATAGGAGGGGACTTCAAACAGTTTGTCAAGACTTAGAGCAGCATTAGAAAGAGGTGCAGTAGTAACTCTGTGAGGCTGACCCACATGAGACATTTTGGGTCCATGTCCAGAGAGGGTACTGAATACACTGGGTATGCATGTGTTCAAGATCTGGGCTTGACTGAGGCTGGGGCTGGATCACAGTGTGAAAGACCTATTAGGGGTGCCCACCTCTCTGTCTCTTCCTCTCTTCCCCTCTGGCTGTCTCACTAATGGAAGAAATTATGTTTAAAATTTAATAAAAAATGAAATTAAAATACCACTTAATTTTGTTGTAAAAGAATGAAATCTATAAATAGTTTTTTTAATAGTGTATTTTCCATGAACCTCTTGAACACCCCAGTATATAGTGCAACTCCTTGTCTTATTGAACAGAGTTCTGAGCACATGAATACATTTGTTGGCAATTTAAGATCACCTCTTTAAAAATTAAGTGTTGTGCCATGTTGTAATTTGAGATTGTACTTCTGGGGTCTTTGAGTCTGTCAGGTTGTTAGTTCTTTTTTTTTTTTTTAATTTGTTCTACAAATGCTTTTGGAGTACATGCCAAAGTGCCAGGCACTGTTAATTCAGATTACCATCGGAGTAGCCATTACGCAAACTCTCAAAAATCTTATTCCCGTACAGATTATGGAGTGGGAGACAAAGTGAACCAAACAATTACATGAGTACACGTATGTCAGGTGGTGCTGGGAAGGAAAATAAAGCAGGAGGTGAATAAAGAGAATGCTGGCAGAGGAATGCTTCTTAGCCAGGTGTCTATAATGGTGAAAGGTGACATTGAGCAGAGACCTGGGAGTGGGGAACCGTGAGCCTCCTAGCATTTGAAATAATAATTGTGAAGGCCAACAGTAGGAGCAGACTTGCTGTTGAAGGAAGTGGAAGTGGGTTCTGGGCTGGACAGTAGTGGACAAGGATGTGAGGTGGCCACCATAGCCTACTGGAGGTCTATAAGCTTGTTTCCAGGTCATCCAGAGCAGAAGCAGTGGTCACGTTAAGTGCCCCAGAAACATTTCCAGTTACATTTTGAAGTGTCTGTCTGGCTGCAGTGTGCAAGACTGGAAGGAGCAAGGGGCAGGGGAAGCTGGAAGATTCTACAGCCTTTACAACAGTGAGCACTGAGGGCTGCTTGGACTAGGTCTGTAGCTATGGAAGAGGTGGTTGGAGTTGGGATATCCAGGATCAGAAGATAGCTTTGATGTAATCTCCCAGAGAAGGAGGGAGACTGGGAGAAGAGATGCAAGCATTGAGTCCCGGGCACTTCAGTATCAGGGGCATTTAGATATTAGGATAAATGAAAAAGACTTATCAAAGGATCAGAGGGCAAGCAACTAGTGAGGGGTAAGGAACATAAACTGAATGGTGGTATAAAAGCCAAATGAAGAAAGTGTTTGAAACAGAATTGAAGGATTGCCTGGTTCCAATGATAGGACCTGATTAAGTTTTCCTATGGTAGTAGTTTTCAAATCCGTGATTATTCTGTGCTCCCCATTAGCGATGCCTGTCTCCTGTCTTCTTTGTTTTACTGTGACAAGAGCACTTAGCACGGGAGTGACCCTCTTACAGGCTTGAAAGGGAGCAGTGTGGTGTCGCTGTCCACAGGCACAGTGGTGAGATCAGACCTCCACCGTGCTAGCAGTTACCATTTCTTAGTCTTCTACCTTTGGTAGGATTCTCCTCAACTTCATTCCTCCAACCTCAATGTTTCTAATCCTTTATCCTGTCATATAAATACCTGAAAATTTCCAGAAGATGCCAGATACCGAGGCTTGTTATGTAAACAACCTCAGTTTTACTTAATGATCTTCACAGGGCAGGTCTGAGTTGAGGTCCTTCAGAATAGAGCCCTTTGTTACAGTTATGTTCAAAAATCTGAATGTTGTTGAAACTTATTTTAATTAGCGTAATAGAGCCTGAATTCCAGTCATGTGCTAAACGTTGTTCTAAAGATTATAAAATTTGCACTGTGCTCAATAATTATTTTAACACACACATACAACTCATTATTTAAAGATCTTCATAGAAACTCTCTGTGTTTTTGTTTTAGAAAAATGTGATGAACCACTCGTGTCTGGACTCCCCCACATGGCCTTTAGCAGCTCTTCATCCATGTCTGGTAGCTATGCACCCGGCTATGCCAAGATAAACAAGCGAGGAGGTAAGGCAAAGTTTTTAAGGTAAATTTTGATTTGTTAGTCAATATGTTAAATAAGGGTATGTTCTATGTTGACCATATTTTAACCTGTATATTATATGTTGTGTGTATGACTATATTTTATGTATATTATCACATAGCAGATACAGGTACCAATAATTATCATTGCCACTTCTGTTATAAATTAAATACCATGAACCTCACATGTAGTCACTATTGGGAATCAGATAGCAAGATTTAGACTAAAGGTGAGATCTGGCACATCAACTAAGAGAAAGTTTGGAATTGCCTATGGTAATAAATTCAAACGATCTAAAGATCTGAACTAAGGAAATCCTTGCTCATCTGAAACTGTCTAGTAAGAAGTGAGAAAGAATTGACTTGGAATGAGTGAACAGTGTATGAAAAAGAGTACTTTGTATTTACTGCTTTTTAAAATTGATATATACACATACTTTCTATTGAAAATGAAGGATGAAAAAAAGTCCTGTTGCAATTTTCCTCTAGTGCCCAGAAATTCTTTGTTATTAAAATTGACTGAAGGGACCAGCAGATGGTATAGTGGTTAAGGTGCTGGGATCCCAAATAGCTGACTGCAGTTTGAGTCCCAGACCTGGCAACTTGAAATTCACACAGAACATGTGTGCATGTGTGCCCAAAATCACGGTAGGAGGAGGGATTGTGAAGTGTTATTTCCCCGGGTGTGATTTCTTATTTCCCCTCTCACTGTATGTCTCTGACTCACTCCTCATTGGCGAGCATACATGCCCTATCTCCAAAACCTTAAAACAAACAAACAAACAAACAAAAAATAACAAAACAAACAAACAAAAAACCTGAGGGGAAAATAGTCAAACATTTGCAACTAAAACCTGAATTTTGAGCTTTTAAAGTCATAATACTCATTAGTAAATAGTAATTTCAAGGTTGACAGGAATTCACAGAGTAAAGGAACATCACTAGGAAAAGAAACATAAAACTCTTCAAAGGAATACTAATACAAATAACAATGAATGGCAATTTTAAAAAGAAAAAAACATAATATTTTGTTGGCTAAATATGAATCAACTGGCAACAACAATAATGTTTTATTAAGAAAAAGCCCAGAATGGTATTTGGCGGAACTTGGAGTAGGAGGGGGAAGAAGTGGTGAATTGTCGGTCAAAGGATAAAAGTTTTATTTGGACAACGTGAATAGGTTCTGGAGGCCCACTGTACAGTATGGCAACTATTGTTAGTAATAATGTATACTAGAAAATTGCTGAGGGAGTAGATCTTTAAGTAGTCTTACTTAAAAAAAATAGCTATGTAATCATCTAAATTGAGTCAGGCTGGCTTATCCTAAATATACACTTGGTTCACCATAGAAAAGTAAGCCCACTATATAAGGTGATAAATATGTTAATTATCATAATTAGTCATTTATCATGAATTAGTCAGTGTTTACATATATCAAAACATCATTTGTATACTATAAGTATATAATTTTTTTATTCATCAGTTATACTATAATAAAGCTAAGGAAAATAGGAAATATTAAATCATAAAACAATCTTACACTACAACCAATTAACGTAATAAAAAAATAAAAGTGAACGAACATGGGAGGAAGAAGGAAGGAAAGAACAAAGGAAGGGGGGGGGAACCATAAAGTTACTAAAAAGTACAGAGCCCACCTGCAGGGATGCAGCAGGACTGTAGCATTCTGCAATGCTGGCAGCCAAATGGAAGGTCAGGGTTTGGTTCCTGGGTCAGCTTGTTCACACTGGGCACATGTGCATATGCCTGTGACATGGGTTGACTGGAAAGACTGCAGAAAACATTGCTTCTTGAGACTGTTGAGGGTATTTTTCTCTCTTTCTCTCTCAAGTAATAAGTAAACATAAAAAAAGAGAAAAGAAAAAAACTCAGTAAAAGCTACAACAATGTACATAGAATAATATATACAGAGATTTACAGAAGTATGAAGAGGCTTTAGTAAATAAAAAGCTTTGGTGAAAGACAAAGATATACAAAGATAGAAGGCTATAAATAGCAAAACTACAGTTTGGATTTAATAGTGGTATCAATTAGGTCATCTTTTCATAACCCAATATTCATCAGGCTGGGTATGACAGAGTTGGTGAGTTACTGTAAGCTATAAATTTTTTTTGCTGAAAACCGTTAAAAGACTGGAAATTTTAATTTATTCATTTTCTGTAAAAAGTCACTGGAAACAGCAAAAGAAACTTGAACATAGACAGAAAAACATGAAACAGGGAACTGTCATATGCAAAGAATAATAATGATACAGACCTGCCCAGTACTATGAAATCTGGAACAAAATATGAAAGAGAAAAGAGAGCACATACCCCGAGATGCCAAGAGGATGCCATATGTGGATACTGAAGAACCTACAGCAACCTTAAGAGAGGAAGCAGATCCAGGGTATTGAGGTGAATGTGGTGGTGTCAAGGGTCCAGCACTTCTGGGAAACAAATGATGCAATCCAGGGACAGTGAGGCGAATGAAGAGTAACGACAAAGACACCATGGGCATGTCGCTGGTACAGAGCGATGAATCCATTTCAATGTAAGAGCATCACTAAACAATCTAGGAACTAGAGTTAGTGATCAGTATGCAAATTCTATAAACAAACATAAGCAGATAATCATATCAAATTATGGGACTTAAATGGATGTGTGCTTTTCTTTCTATAACCTTTTAGAATAAGAGACTACTTCATGCTGAAACTTTATGTACAAATTTACTTTGCCCTTTTTTTTAGGAATTAAATTCTTTTCTGAAGCAGTCATTATTTTGTTGTTCTCATTCAATTCTAGTAAAATTAAATTAATTCATTTTATTTTCAAAGAGTGCAAGATTCCACTTTAAATTATTTAGAAATACTTATCTCTTTATCCTCTCATACATGTAAAATAACTATCTGACTTGAACTTCTAAAATGTTGGGCCAGCAGGTGGCATGGTGGTTGGGGTGCCGAATCACACATGACTGACTGTCTCTTCATTTAACAAACCTGGTGGCTTGAGAAACATGATGGGCACTTGTATGTGCATGCCCAAAATCCAGAGGAAAGGATGGAGGAGAAGGGTGAAAAACTTCTAAAGTGTTAACATCAAAATCCAGAGGAAAGGATGGAGGAGAAGGGCGAAAAACTTCTAAAAAGTTAACACTTTTTTTAAAACCTGAATGGTGGATTTAGAGAATGTTTTTAAATTTTTATAATTATTTATTTTGTAGTTTACAGGATACACATCTATGTCTACACAGATGATGGATGGATAGATGGGTGGATGGATAGATGGATAGATAAATGGAATGTGCTTCCAAAAAAGTTATTTCAAAAGCAAAAATGTGTAAGACAAAAGTTATGATGTCTTAGCTGTTTGACTTGCAGTTTATCTCTCTCTCTTTGGGACTACTGATAAAATTCTTTGTCATGAAGCATCATACTGGGAGAGAAAGCATTGTCTGTCCATAGCTAAAAGCTCATACTTTGGGCCATTTTATCAACATTTGTCACATGGGAAGCTTTGGGTACTTACTTTTTGGCTCCCACAGACCACCTTGCTTCTCAGAGGTATGATGTGTGTAATTACATATTACTGTTTCTCCCCACCCATCCCATACTCCTAAGTGTTTTGGACTGTGAGTCAGCTATCTCTCTCCACTCTTCAGGCTGCTTATTCTGTCTCTGAGTGTTCAAACAAGATGCTCATGTGTAGGACTAGCTTTAAGTCTAGTTGATCACCTCATTGTGGGTCACAGGAGCCAGCATCAGAGGGGAAGGTTATATCCTCACCAAGAAGAATTCAAGGGAAATTTACATAGTTATTTTAATGAACAAAGAATTTTATTGCTCCATAAAGTTCATATGCAAATATTCTTGAGATAGGAGCCATATAGGCTGAAATTCATACTAAGATATATGAGAGAACATCAAAATATTCATATAAAAGTGGAATTAAAGTAAGAGATTATTTTGATACAAAAATTTAAACTAATACATAGTTTTTTCATACTATATATCTTCCATGAACTTTCTGAAGGGTCCTCATAACTGGGTAATAACCTGCATTGATAGAAAATAGATTTCCTTTTTTTAAGAGAGAATTTTGCTATAGGGTATGTGTGCTCAGCAGAGAGACAGAAAGCAAGAAATCATCTCACCAGTGGGGATAGTCACACCACAATTCCTCCCTTCTCTCGAGATTTTGGGCATGAACACACACGCACCTGGCACCACCAGGTATGGAACTCGACTACATGAGAATGCAGTGATATAACCATTATGCCATCTGCTGGTCCCTAGAAATCGATTTTTTAAATTATAGCACATTTACTATTCAAATACAGAAAAGAACAAATTCATTTGAGCTTCATGTTGATAAACATTGGTTTTAAGTTTTACAATTTACTTAAATGATATTCTTCAAATACGTTTTAGAGAGAAAGAATTTATAAATACGTAGAAAAGTAGAATTTAAATGCAGATATACATTCAGATGACAGATTGTCTTACATTTATTAAATTGAGTTTAATTTCTGAGCCCCCACAATCCAAATCCATCTGCTATAACCTTGATATCAGGAACCTGTAACTGACAAAACTGAGGGAAAATATGATGTTTAAGTATAGAAAATTCATGTGTAATGTTATATTTTTTGGAGTCTACTGATTTTAGATTTTTTGTTGTCGTTGCTGTTGTTGGTTGGTTTTGTTCTATTTTTATAGTAATATCTGTGCTCTAGTAAATCTTGGCATTCTTAACTCATCTAGGGTCTCCCCAACTTAACGTCATTCTGAGTCAACAGCAGTTTGAAGTGTTACTCTTCCCTATGTTAGTACAGATATTAAACCTTAGAGAGTTTTGTATGAGGCACCCATTGCCTTATATTCACATAGCATTTTGCAGATTACAAACTCTTTCCTTTGTGTTCTACATGTCCCTAGATGTTCATAACAATCTTGATAGAGTGATAAGTCAAAGACCCAAACC